TGTCTGATGCCAATCTATAAATTCCTCTTCAGATTCATGCAACATATCCAATGACACCGAGTGCAGGAAGATCACAGGCCAGTGGGTGGAATCTCTTGTGGCTCCAGTGGCAGTGGAAACATGTCAACACTGTCAGGGGTCTCCACGTGGCTCCTCCAGTTCCAGGGCTCTAGTGTAGCTCCATGTGTCTTGTCAGCAGGAATGTCTCACAGAGATTGATGCTAAGACACTGGAGATCTCCAAGAGATGCCAAGCCCACTGATGAAGAAACATACACGGGCTTTCCCCCGAGTCAACACACAGGGAGAAAGCCTTCCCACAGAGCTGGTGCCCACACTTCTAGTCCCCCACACTGTTTGTTAAAACTGTCCACTTGTGATATTTCTGTGATGACCACCGTAGAGAATTAAGGCATTCATGAACAACACCCTGTGATATGCAGGTAACTCAACCTTACTTTTTGAAAGTAAAGATTACTTGAAGCATTGACAGTCTTCCGTATGGATTACAATGGATTACAGTGAATCAAGTGGACCCATAGCAACATCATGGTAAATGAAGAAAAGATTGAAATTGTTAAGGACTTCATTACTTGGATCCATAACCAACACGCATGGAAACAGTAGTGAAGAAATCAGATAACACACTGTATTGGACAAATCAACTGCAAAAGACTTTTTTTAAAGTGTTAGAAAACAAAGCTGCCACCTCAAGAATGTATGGTTAGCAACCCCCCACTTATCATACAGGGCCACCAGGACTTCCTGGGAATATCTCACTTATGCTTCTAGCAATCAAGCATACAGTGTCTGACAAGCCCATCTGACTGGTTTCTCCACGCTCACCTCTCTCTACTCCGTTTTCCACAGAGCAACTGGAATGATCTTAAAATGAAAATCATAATAAGAATTGAGCATTTACTGTGCCAGGGCTGTGCTCAGTTCTTTATGTACAGGACATGTATTCATCCTCATAGCAACCTCATAATTGTTACTGAGTGAGGGTTGTTTGTTTTGTTTGTTTTTTTGTCTTGGGTTCAGAGAGTTTAAGCCCTGAGATTGGTACCCAGGGCTTTCTAACACCAGAGCCCATGTTCCTGACTGTATATCCCCCCTCATTGCTCTTCTTTGGTGTGAAGTGCCGTTGAGTTGATTCTGACGTCTTGGCTCCATGTAGCAGAGGAAACCGCCACGTAGGGTTTTCTTGTCTGTAATCAGAATGGGACCAGATCTCACGTCTTTCTCACCTGGAATCGCTGAGTGGGTTTGAACCTCCAGTTGGCAGTCCAGTGCTTAACCCTTTGTGCCACCAGAGATCCTTTGACTCAGCTTTTCACTTTGCTAATGGTAGCAGTTTAAAATACGATTATTCAATTAAGTCACTGGGAAATAGTTGTCAGGATCACATCAACTCAATAGAAATAATGATTCCATTAAAGCCTTGATATTAATTTTTTTCAACTTGTCTAATGCTGGATCTATTTCTCTAAGGTGATATTGGGTTAAAACTTAATCTGGTACCTCTATGTGGTCAACCCTATTCTGAAGTGACACTTGGTTTCATGAACAACTCCTGGGCTCTGCTAGTAGGAAGGAGTTGACACCCCCCGCCCCTTTTTTTGAGCATTTAAAATTATGCTCTGTTTATCTTTATGCAGCTTAGAGATTCATAAACAATTCCATGTGTAAATATTTGTTAATTTAAAACACATTTCAGGAGCAGGAGCTACGATGCCTCTTGCTTTAAAACCATGTTGAAGTTTTTTTTCTGTTCTCTGAACAGTAAGAGAAGGGCCTGAGCCCACAGCAGGGCTTTCTTCACGCCATTAAGTCAACTTTGAGTCAGTAGGCAACTTTAAAAAAAATAAAAAACAGATTTCAAAAGTTGTAACTTGTGATGGATTATTTACGAATCGATCACTGCAATCACAAATTATTTAGGTGCTGGTGGCATGACAGTTACATGTTGGTCTGCTAACCTCAAGGTCAGCAGTTCAAAACAACGGCTTTGTACTCCAGTACAGAGTTATAGTCTTAGAAATTCCCAGGGATAGTTCTTCCCTGTCCTATAAGGTCTCTATGAGTCGGAATCGACTCCGCGGCAGCGAGTGCGTTCGGTTTTGGACCCCTCCCTCTAGGGAACCCTAACTGCCAAGTCTGTGTGTAGTTCAGACCCACCAGCTGCTTTGTGGGAGAGAGATGAGGTTGTCTGCTCCCGTAACTGGGGGCAGTCTCAGGTGCCCAAAGGAGCAGTTCTATTCTGGCTCTGGGCCCCTCCAGCACTCCCCATCACCCCCCAGGAGGAAACTTCTCTTTTGTTAGTTACCTTTTCCCTTTTACTCCCTCAAGTCTTCCTTGGTGTTTAAGGACTTTCTGTGCTGTGTGAAAGGAGCCCTGGTGGTGCCGAGGTTAAGCACGTGGCAGCTAACTGAAAGGCCAGTGGTTCGAAGGCATCAGCAGCCCCACGAGAGAAAGACCTGGCGATCTATCTGTGAAAAGGAAAAGCTTGGTCACATCAGCTCGTCACCACCCTGGAGGGCAGAATTGCCTGATAAAAGGATAGTTACGTCAATGAGCAAACTTTGTAGTAAGACGTGGACTCAAAGCACTAACCTTGTAAAGTTGCTCAGGGCTCCCATTCACAATCCTTTTAATTACTGATCCTATACACTTATCTAAAGTACATTTACATGGACTCACAGAGGAAATGCCAAGATTGAGTGCAGGTGGTCTGATAGCCTTCTTCAAATTCTACATGTGTAAGGAAATTGGGGCTTACTGCTTGATGTTTGCTTCCCAATACATGTGAGGATATGATTTTTTTTCTCCTGCCTTCCCCTTAGGTCCAATTAGCAGAATTTCTAGAAAATTTACAAGAAAAGTCCTTGAGGATTGAAGCCTTTGTTAGTGAGATAGAGACCTTTTTTAATACCATTGAGGTAAGTTATCCTATCTTTTTTATTTTAATCCTGCTCTGTTCTTGGAATGACAGGGACGGATTCAGCCTGTGCAGGCTCTGGGGTGGGGTGCGTGCATTTGCGTGTGTGTTTGCCCTTGCTGGTTCGGCTCTGTTACGCATCACAGTCTGAAAAGGATTGTGAGGATAGTTGCACAGCATGATGAATGTCATCCATGTCACTGAATTATAGGTGTGAAAATGGTTGACTTGGCTAATGTTTGTTATATAGCTTTTTACCACCATCAGAAGACAAAAAAATGTCTTAGTGTAATTGGCGAGACTGCTTTCTGTGTAAGGATTTAAGATTTGCCCTTAAAACTCACCCGCACCCCCACAGTTATTAAGCACTAACATGATGGTATGAATGCTTTATGTGCTTGGCCTAATATAATCTTCACAATAACCATTTAAGACAGGTTTATTGTTATCGTTCTCATTTCATAGATTCGAGACTGAGGCGCACAGGTAAGGGTATTGCCGAGGGTCATAGGAAGTTGATAGGAAGTCTGGAGCCAGGATTTAAATCCGGTTCTGCATTCTTAAGGAGCCCCTGTGGTGCAGTGGGCCACTACTAGGTTGCTGTCAACAAGGTGTGAGGTTTACCTCCACCAGTCACTCCCAGGGGGAAAGATGAGGCTGCCTACTTCCCTAAAGATTTAAAGTCTCAGAAACCCAGTGGGGTAGTTCTTCCCTGTCCTATAGGGTCGCTATGAGTCAGAAGTGACTTACTGGCAGTGAGTTTTGATTTTGAGTTTGAGTTCTTACTTGAGCCACGATCTAGCTTCTCACTGGGTTAGTACTGCAGACATGCTTAAGTCACGGAACAATCTCATAGGAGTTTATGCTTTCCTGGCTGCTGGCCCCTGCCCCCTTCATAGTGAGGACAGGGTAGCAGTGCCCCATTCGCCATCAGAGATGACCTAGGCAGAGGGCCCGAGGCCACTGCAGAAGGCTGGTGCACAGTTCCCTAATCGCTTGGGGGACTTCACATCCTGGTTTGCCTCTGAGAGGTCTGGATTGCTCCTGTTGTTGATCAGTTGATCCTTGTTCATGATTTTTAGATATTCCCTCCCCAAGTATCTCTTTCTTATTTTTTTCTCCAAGCATCTCTTTGAACAATTGGCTCTATGATCACTTTATCACAAGCTCGGCTCCTCCAGAGTAGTCTGGCATGTAAGTATGTCTAGAGAGCAGCCCAGTGTTTCCTCCCGTGGTGAAGCTTTCTCCCACCGGAGAACAGCTGTGAGTGAAGCACCCTCACAGTTAAATATGCTGGCTGCTCCCTCGGGGACACCGTGACTTTAGTGCAACACCAAAGGCCACCCTAAATGCTCTACACCCCACTGAAGGTCATGAATTCCCACTCAGTATGAAGTTGTTTTCAAGTAAACGTTCATGTACATATCTTTTTTTAAAAAAACTTTTTCCATAGCTAAACTGGTCTGCTAATATTCTTACAGTGAATTAATTATATTCCATTGCATAGTTAACTAGGGCAAAGTGATATTGGTTGGGTTGGACACTTGAACAATGCTAAGATGACTTAATTCTCTTCTCAGTAGGCCAGAGTTCAGTTTGTTAAAGCCTTGCCTGCCTGCCCGCCTTCTTCCTGTCTTCTTTCTTTCTGCATTTGTTTCATTTAGAAAACTTTTCACCCCTCCTCAGGAAAACTGTAGCAAAAATGAGAAAAGGCTAGAAGAACAGAATGAGGAAATGATGAAGAAGGTTTTAGCGCAGTATGATGAGAAGGCCCAGAGCTTTGAGGAAGTGAAGAAGAAGAAGATGGAGTTCCTGCACGACCAGATGGTGCACTTTCTGCAGAGCATGGATACTGCCAAGGACACCCTGGAAACCATCGTGAGGGAAGCAGAGGAGCTGGATGAGGCCGTCTTCCTGAGTGTAAGCACACTTAACATGGGCCCAGATGTTGTGCAACCTACTCCGGCCCAAGGCTTTGAAGTGTCATCTTTCATTCAATATGCCCGACCAGCATTGATGTCTCTGTGTGGACTTTATAGAATTCTGACAGTTAAAGCTACTGGGACATACCTGCTGCTAGAAAATCCCTATGACTCCTGATGCCCAGGTTCAGCTGGAGGACCCAGGGCAGGGAAGGCAGGCAGTTCTAGAATCTTATTCATTCCCATGTCTTTCCTTCAGGGTCAGCTTCTATGAGCCCTGGGCCTATGGGCTCCCCTCCCGTTAACTGAGTTTACCGCTCATATAGGCTCTGGGAGGTTTGCCAAGTGGCTGAGAGTACATTTATAATGATAGCGCAGTGTGGTACCTCTCTCTCTCTGTTAGTGCTTTTACAAGAGTGAAGGAGCCCAGGCAGTGGGTTCAGCACCAGGCTGTTAACTGCATGGTTGGAGATTCGAACTCGAAGATGAGACTGCTTATGTAAATATTTATAGTCCTGGAAACTTTGAGGAATAGTTCTACTCTGCCCTGCAGGGTTACTGTGACTCAGAACTGACTCCACAGCAGTGGGTGTCAGAGGAAGCCAGTCTCCAACAACCGAAGGGTCAGTAGCCGCAACTGTACTGTTATCATCTGTAAAGCTTACAGTAAAGTCATAGAGGGTAGAAAAGATAGAAGAGAGAAAAAAAATAGAGGAGCCAGACACATTTTATGGTAGCATGCTCACCTCAGCCCCTCTTGGTGGTCCACGTGGAGGTGGGAGAAGAGAGACGGAATCTTTACTGTCTTGAGGTATTTCTAGGGAGCCCTAAGACATGTTTATTCAGTACTTACGTACGTCACAAGGTGAGTGGAATTTACAGTAAGGTCCCTGAGCTCACAGGTGAGAAAAGCTAAGATCTGCACTGGGGGAAGGGATGGCAGCATAGCTGTTAGGGGAGAATCTGTGGGAATGCTATTTAAAGCAGGATAATGTACTTGGACTTTATCTCTAACTTAACCAAAGTGGATGCTTTCCCACTGTGGAATACTAGTTTTTCAGATTTCTTCTAAGTTAGGGACTATAGTCCTTATCATATTTCCCTCAGCATTAGTTTCCCACAAATGGGTTGGGCTTTGGTTACCAGGTAGCTTTCTGGGAAAAGAATTTCTGAAGTAAAACAAGGAATTACTGTGGACAGAGGTAGGCTCTATTGGTTGCTGCTCAAATTGTTCCCTCGTTTTGATTCCTTTATTTACCTAGAATATTCAGTAAAAAGCAGGTTCTCCACGAAGCCCAGATGAACAAGGAGTCAGGGGGAGCGGGGAGGGAGGGGAAAAATGAGGAGCTGATGCCAGGGGCTTAAGTGGAGGGCAAATGTTTTGAGAATGATGAGGGCAATGAATGTACAAATGAGCTTTACACAATTGATGTATGTATGGGTTGTGGTAAGAGTTGTATGAGCCCCTAATAAAACAATTGGGAAAAAAAAAAAGACTAACAAGGAGTCATGGAGATATTTTCCCTGAAGGTAGTTCCAACCTGGCTCCAAGCCAAGCTCATGGTCAACGTGGAGAAAGGCGTTATCTTATGATAAGTGGGCATCTCCTTTTCAAAGAGCTCGTCTCCTCAAGCTCTAGTGAAGTTTGGAGACACAGTAAGGGACAGAGGGACCATGTCTTTGGGGACATCTCTAGCCAGGGCAAATATGGACAAGGTGGATATAGCCATACTGAATGGAGAACTGAAATCATTTGGTTGCTTTTTGTTTAATTCAGGCAAAGGTTTAATATTTTAAATTCGACTCAATTTGCCAAATAAAGCGTAACATTTATAAAGTGCTTCATGCTTCCTGAGAACTTTATCTTTGCTGTTTCAGAATATTTTCTTCTCCAACAATTATTCTGCTTATAAAAATAACAATAGCCATTTGTGGAAATTTGGGAAGTACAGAAAGTACAGAGAACGTATCACCCAGAGACAAGGTTTGGATGTATAGGCTGCATTGAACACATTTAAGTTTATTTTCTTGCCTCAGAGAATTCTATTCTATTCTATTAAGCCATTTTTGTTAGTGGATAATGAGAAGGAGGGGTGAAGCAACTCATTGCAGACCTTACTGATCCCAGAAAGCGGAGTGGAGTTAGACATGGATTCTCCCACTACTAATAGACCCGCATTCCCAGCACTCTGTTCCTTGCAGCCTAGGCTGAAGCCCCCTAAGAGGAACTGCCGCAGGGGAAGCTGAAAGGGAGCGATTACGGAATGTTCATAATCTTCATGCTGTTGACTGTTTTTTCCTTTTGGGTGTTAATTGGTTTCTGTCTCTCTCTCTCCCTCCCTCTTTTCTCCCCTTTTATTTTTTTCCCCATAAGTCCTTTGAAGAAATCAATGAAAGGTATATAAAATGTGGTGCAATGTAGTGGCTACAGAGAATAGCATGACTGGTTGCTTTATTTGAATACTTCTATGCTTTATAGAAAGTGAGCTGCCAATGATAAAATAAATGTAGTAAGCAACTAGTTTTCACTTGTAGACATTGCGCTTTCAAAAGCTAACTGGCAGTTTGGAAGAGAATTGCATGTGCTTTCTTTAAATAACAATTAGCATAATGTTGATTTTTAACTGCTTCCTGGAGATGCGTTCTATATTTACAGCCTCCTGTAGAGCATTTTTCTGCCATTGAAAACAACAATTTGCAGATACTTATGACTTACTGGTTAGATATGAATATTTGAAAGACTCATTCATATCTTCCTTGTGTAATTTTATGTCTTATGTGGTCTGAACGGAATGCTCTCTGATAGTCACGTCAAAGGATAGCTGCACGTGAAACTTCTCTTTCTGCTCAACTAACCCCAATGAATCTTCCTCTTTTGACTTTAACTTTGTTGTTTTAACACTTGGTGGAAAAGAAATCCCTTATTCATTCACAAAACAAACCACTCAAGGAATTAGGAAATGTTGTCTATAAAAACATACACTATCAGGCCCTTGTTTATTTTTTGGAGTATGTGATATTAAAATTCTTAGACTATTCTGACATCTTTTCTCTTTTGCCGCATAGCAAAGCCTGAGGTGTTTCTAACTGGTTGCACCGAATGCTTTCTCATTTCTTTTTTTATAGAAAATTTCTAGGATCATAAATATTTTCTTTCAGTTGACTTCCATGCTAGTACATAAAATGAAATAACATAATGTTTAAAACAATTTTTTTGTTTTGACGTTTGAAAATTTAAAAAATGAATTTGAATTTAGAATCTCTCTCCTGCCTTTTAAAATCGAAACTGCACAGATTAATCTTCTTTATTAAAAGTTTCATTTGACAGAATCTGCCCAATACTCTTAGGAAAATAAAATGTGTTAATTATAAATGATATTAGTATTGGCATTGATTAGGAAAGGTTTTCTAATGGGATTTATTATTAATATAATTACTTGGGTGCTTTCAAAAATACAAATGCCTAAATCTAATCCCTTGAGTTTCTGATGCCATCGGTCTGGGGTTTAGCCTGCGCAGTTTTTAAACTTCTAGTAGTTACTATGTTTGGTTGTTGCGCAGAAGTTTGGCAGTTGACACTCACCAAGCAGTCCGTGGTAGAAAGATGTGGAATCTACTCTGACTGACAGCCTTGGAAGCCGCAGGGCAGCCCTACTCTGTCCTAGAAGTACACTACGTGTTTGAATCAACTCATTGGCAATGGGTTTGGTTTGTTTGAGAAGATTCTAATGTGCAGCCGGGTTGAAAACCTCTGGTTGATAGCAATTTCCCTTTGGCTTAGGGGGGTAGGGTCCCCACCTGGCTGTGCATCTGTGTCCCCTGTGCGGGTTGTTAGATCAAAGATCCCAGGGTCCCACCCGAGAAGCACTCCATCAGAATTTCCAGGGTAGGACCGAGTACCCGCCTGCCACTGGACAATTCTCATAGTCGTGCCAGAGTCTGAGGCCCAGCGATCGGGTCTGGAAATGGATACCCAGGCTGCACTTCTGGGTTTTCAAATGATGCGTTTCTTCTAAAGATAATTGTGTATTTGTGCCCACACCGTAAGTGCATTTATAGTGCTAGTCCTTATGCTCTGGACTTTCCACAAATGTTGATGCATATCTGCTTGTTTATATTTTATCAGGTCATGGGACATATTGACTGACCAGGAAAAGGAAACTTGATGAATAAAAATTTGGGAATACTTTTCACCTTAAAAATTTTGCTCTCAAATATGTTTGCTTTTCCAAGCATTAGACTATTAACCTGCTAATACGAATTGCCATCCTTTAAATGCTAACGACAGCTTCTTCAGGTTTGCACATTTACTTGTTCACCTAGGTATCATTTTAATTAATTTAAATTTCTTGTCCAATTGACCATCTTTGCTAAAGCTCTATAGTGTCACCAAGGGTGCAGATACTTGTAACTATTAAATTTTCTTTAAAGAATGGCAACAACAAATTCTGAGATTTGGGATGAACTAAGCAACTACAGAGCGCTGGATTCAACATATGCAAACATACACTCACATCTAATGAAACTTGATTGCCTGACAATAAAGAAGCCTTTCATGTCCTCAAGACAACGTCTGCCTCAAAGTCTCAAAGTCACTGGGGCTCCTTCTGACCAGCAGTCCTCATTTTCTCGTTGGTTCTACCTTGCTGCTGCCTCCCCCTCTCTTCATATTAGATCTTTGAAGGCAGTGCTTGTACATGAAATTATTTTTCTCAACACTGAAAACGCTTAAATTAAGGAATGCTGTCAAGCATATTTAGGCTCAGCATTTGCATATCTTGAAAAACACATTTGCTTTAGAAAATGCTGTTCTGTTAAGAAGATGCATGTTTTTTTCTCTCCCTGTATTTTGTGCTATTGTATAATAATAATGAAATGATAAAGGAGTTGCAATCATTGCAGGAGCTACTCATAAAAAGGATGTCCACTTGCCCTTTCACATGCAGACCTTACAATGGAATAGGTCGGTGCGCAGATAAACCCAGACCTTTTAGTTGTGCTTTCTGCAGACAGAGCTTTTGTGCTGCGGGTTCCTCCATCTAAGCATTAACGCCATGGGAAGGGCTTGGTCTATGGATTGACCACCGTTCCACAAACTCTGAATCTAGTCTTCCTACCTACTCAAGCAATCTTCCTACAAACTGAAGCAATCAACTTTCATCAGACGGCTCTCTGTCTGTCTGTCTGTCTGTCTCTCTGTGTTTAATTCAGCTCCATTTCGGCTCATGTTATCTTCACTCAGCTAATCTCTTTGGTTTCATTGCTCTGATCTTTCTTAAGGCTCTTGCCAGGGTACTTCCAACTTCCCTTGTGTGAACACTTCCATGGGTTTCCTGTCTCATAAAATCAAATGTAAGCTCAATGGATATGAAAGACTCTTCACAGGCAAACTACCTGTTACCTTTACCTTTTTATTTTCACCCCCTTTCACAGCTTCCACGGTTCCCCCAGTTACGCTCTCACATCTCAATGCCTTTGTTCATGGGGCCCTTTCCACCTGATACATCCCTACTCCCTTTCCCACCAAAGCAGACCTCCTTTTCACTCATTCTTTAAGATGCAGTCCCAATGTCACTTCCTCTTTGAAGCTGGACTGGAACCACCTCCCTGAAATCAGATGGGTGAATATATATATACACACACACACACACATACACATATATATGAATGCATTTATACACATTTTGGTAAGTACATAGGTAACAAAACTTGCTGTTTCACTATTCATATATGTACAGTCCAATGACCTGAGTTCATGTCCACGCTTTTCTGTCCCGCTCTTATCTGTTTCTGCTGGTTTCCATCAATGACATCAATATGTTTTGGTTCTAACAGCAGTAAGTAGAGTGGACCCTCTTTAAATATTTCAATTATGTTATTTTTTCTTCATACTAACTGGACCTGAGGTGCTACTAGGAGTCCTGGTGTTGCGGTGGTTGAAGTGCTCAGCTGTTATCTGAAAAAGTCATTGATTTGAAATAACCAGCTTCTCTCAGGGAGAAAGATGTAGCAGTCTGCTTCTGTAAAGACCATAGCCTTGGAAACCCGCGTGCAGTTCTACTCTGTTCTATGTGGTTGCTCTGAGTCAGAGTCAATTTGATAGCAGTTGAGACTTGACTTTGCTTTGAGATCCTGATATTGGCTCTTACTAATTGAAAATCTATTGGTTACATGCTGTTACAACAATGTAATGCTTTATAATAACAAAACCCAAACTCACTGGCATCAAATTAATTCTGACTCATAGCAACTCTGTAGGACATAGTTGAACTGCCCTTTTGGACTGTCAAGAGAAAATCTGGACAAGAGTAGACAGCCTCAGCTTTCTCCTTTGGAGCAGCTGGTGGGTTCGAATTGCTGACCTTGTGGCTAGCAGCTCCATGCATCTCCCAACACAGTGGTGAGCAAATCAGAGTCCCTTTCTGAATGTAGGTTATATTTTCATGAAGTAGTCTGATAAAAAAATAAGCCTGGTTTGCTAAGTTTGAGGAAGTAAAATGAAATGGAGTAAGGGGAAGAGAAGGCAGACAGCGCTGTGTTAGTAGCAGACCCGCGGATGGGATGGCCTCTCTGAGGAGCTGCTGTGTGAACAGATGTAAACTATGTGAAGGAAAGAGCCATCCCACTATCTGGGAGAAGAAGATGCCAGCAGTAAGTGGGAAGACTTTGAGGTGGATCTGTGCTGGGAAGACCAGGCTCTGCAGTAATGAAGCCAGTGTTTCAGCTCCCTCCTCGTTGACGCATCTGCTGGGAGATGCCCATCCTTTCTGAGGGATGTGCACTGAGGGCAGTGTGAGGCCCCTCATGCTGAGGACAAAGGCTTCTGAAGTTTCTCCTTCCCTCTCCTATTCAGGGCTATCCTGAGGTTTTGTTTTTTTTTTCTTTCCATCTGGATTTATAATGCTATTGGCACCCCTGCTTTAATATTAACTTACAAACAGTTGCCTGATTGGTCTTTTAAGAACAGGTAGACTTCACGTTCTTTCCCTGCTCAGGACCTCGAACATTGCACCAGACATAGAGTAGGCAAATAATATTTTTTGAATGCCTGGAAGCATAATTGTGAGGTCTTAGAATAGCAAGGCAGCCTACAGATGCATTGAGCCCTTATGCCCTTCTGGAAAGAAGGATTAACTTTATTGATGGAAAAGGGAAGCCTGCAAAATTGGGCAGAAGTTTTTCCACTTGAGGACCTAGAAGCGAAATGTCCAGTCTCACTAGTTGTACCCAAGAACCCCAAGACTAGACTTTAGGCAGGTCTTCCAAGACTTTGAAACCCTTGAAATCCCCCTTAGAATCAATTCAAGGCCCAGCTCATGAAACACCACCAGCAGCAGCAGCAGCTTCCTTTTGAGCAATTGTTTATAGCTTTCCTTTGGTAGGTTAATAGCTTCTCCACTTACCAAGAAATATCTTCTCTCCGGTAGGTTGCTCTCTGCAATGGCGAGCACGGCTTCTTTGGAGAACATTCCGGCTGCATTTTCACGGTTTGAACATTACGAGGACAGCGCAGCAGGAAGTGACCCGAGGCTCAAACAAGTGGCTGGTAAGAAATTTCATCTAAGACCTTGATGAAATGCCCCTAGCTCTTGCTCGGTGGTCTCAGAAGGTTTATTTTATAAGGTAAGGCAATGAGTGAGACAAAGGGTAGGTCTAGGCTGTCAATTGTTAACCCAGGATTCTCAGAGGCAGCTGGAGTCTAGCCCTGCATCAAGTTTCCGGGCTTTCCCTTTGAAGTTTGCTGTCTGTGCTGGGGGGTTGTGGGGGTGGGAAGCAGCATCGATGGAAACAAAAAGGTCCCTTCTGTTTGGAAGATCTTTCCTTTTAAAGTGGGATTTTGCTCCCTTTCTCCAGCCCAGCCCATTTATCATTTTACTTATTTTATGACAGTTTTATTGGCACATAATCCATGTATCAAACACATGATTTGCTTCATGCTAGCAGCCAGGTGTAGAAGGAAAAGTAAATCAAACCTTTCTGTCTGTGTTGAAGAGTTTTCCTTGTGAACGGTTTCCCCTTTTTAATTCAGTGAGCTCCCCCACGCCCCAAACAAAGCCTTAGCTTAGAAAACCAACAGCTCAGCATCATGCTCTGTAGCCAGGAACCTCCTACTCAGCTGTCAGAAGCATCCTGCCAGCTCTTCAAAATATTTTTTAATATGCTATTTTAACCAATAAGACAATGAAATTTAGTTAGACTGCTCAGCGATGCTGTGTTTCTGTGAAGTTACCAAAGTTACTGTACCGAGTACGTAGCCGGTCTCCTGAAAAGAGGCTCTAGGCTTCTCAAATCACCTTGAAGTCTTACAGGCATAGGAAAGCTGCTTAAAAAGAAGTACACAGTTCACTATCAAT